GGCCATATGGTGTACAAAAGCTCTCCAGTATGCCAGAAGTCCCAAATATGTCTGTAGCCGAGCTACAGTTGTGGGTTGAGGGTATGCCTGTATCTTGTCTATGATAGCTTCTGGGATGACTCTTGTTTTACCTGATCAGACCACTCCAGGAATTTGACTGACAGCCCAGGTCCTTGTACTTCAGCTGTGTTCACGGCCCACCCATGTTGTTCCTAATGACATAGCAGTTTTGGAGCTGGCTGGGTTAAATATGCAAGAGAATCTGAGGTTAGTAAAATGTCATCAATGCAGTGAAAAATTGTAACCATGCTAGGCCTAGTCCACTTGGCTAGGTCCCCAGCTACCAAACTATGACAGATGGTTGGGCTATGCAGATAACCTTGGGGCAATACTTGAAAGGTCCACTGCCTTCCTTCCAAGGTGAAGGCAAACTGATCTTGGCTATCAGCCGAGACTGGAATAGAGAAAAAAGCATTTGCAAGGTCCAATACATAATGATAAGTCCCCAGCTGAGTTTTCAGCTGATCCTTCAAGTTGTGAACTGAAGGCATGACTAAATGCAAAGGAGGCACTACTTTGTTCAGTTCTCAATAGTCCACACTCATTCTCCAGGTACCGTCAGGCTTTTTCATTGGTCATACTGGAGCATTAAATGGGCTATGAGCCAGACAAATAATGCCACCTTTCTATAAGTTCAATATAGTGGCACTTATCTCTGCATGTCCTTCTGGTAGGTGATACTGCTTTACATTAACCGCACGTCTTGGCTTGAGTAACACCTGTGAGTCATGTTTAGCATATCCCTGTAACACAGGCTTTACTGTCAGTATTCACAGCTGAAACTCTCCAACTACTGTTTGCAGGTGCAAACCATAAAGTACATCCATACCCAAGATGTATTCAGCTACAGGGGATATATATATATACAGTATTTATATGAAGAAGTAATCTTGGTATGCCCAATGGAAGTGACACAGCTTTGACCTCAGTAGTATGTCCTCCATAGCCATCTATATGAACTGTGGCCCCTGGATTGCCATATATCAGGTTACATTCTGCACCTGTATCCACCAATGCCAAAACATGCTGTACATTTGTCCTCAACCAATGTATCGCCAATTCAACATGAGACCTCCGGTCCTCACCTGCCCCCAAAAGACGAGCACCTTGGCCTGCTCCCTAGTCAAAATGGAACAGTTCATCCACCTCCTCAGGAGCAACCAAGAAATCTTTTAAACCCACTGAGCGTACCTTGCTACCTGTGTCCGGATGTTTGGTGAAACGCTGTTCAGGGCGC